TAGAAAAGGAACTCTGAAAACCAAAATGTATTTTTTAACAATCTCCACGTGAGGGGCGCCTGGCTGGCTCGGTTTGTAGAGCATGTGACTCTTGATCTCAGCGTTGCGAGTTCAAGCCCCACACGAGGTGGAGAGATTGCTGCAAAGTAAAATCTTTAAAGGGAAAAAAAACTCTTAAGGGAAATGCAAAGTAAAAGTGAAACGCAAAGTGAGATACATTCTATGCTTATCAGATGAACCACAATTGAAACGTCTGATGGCGCACGCTACGGGGACACAAGGAACCCCAAGCAGTGCTCCTGGGAACGCCAAGTGGCCCGACTACTCCAGAGGCAATTTGCAAAACCTGTAACAGATGTTGAAGCAAGAATATCCTCCTAGCCAGTTATTCAACTTCAGGGGATATATATTCTAGACACACACATTGCGACAAGACCTTATCAAGGATAGTCCCTGCAGTATTTTTCATAATAGCAAAAAGTAAAACTATCTTTTTGTCCATCGATGAGGTATTGATGATGCCAAACAAGGAAATACTATGTTAAAACGCACCAAGTAAACTTACAATTATCAACCAATGTTATCAACGTATGTTTTAAAAACAATGTTAGGTGAAAAAAAAATTACAAAAAGGAGTTAACAGACCACCATTTATATAAAATGCTTTACATGTTTAGTTATTTTGAAAGAAAGATAGAGAGAGTGAGCGAGCAAGCAGACATGCAACTTGGGGGGGGGGTACACAGAGAGGGAGAGAGATTCCCAAACAGGCTCTACACTGTCAGGGCAGAGTCCTATGCTGAGGTTCAGTCTCACGGGTCAGGAGATAACGACCTAAGCGAAAATCAAGAATCAGTTGCTTAACCGACTGAGCCACCCAGGCGCCGCTAAAAGTTTAAACATCAAATAAGACTACGTGTTCTGAGGAGCACACACTCAGTCCCAAGGTCGCAGGTTGCACGGACTCAACCCCAAACTCTCACCCTTCACCGTGGATTTCTGTCTCGCTCAGCAGAGAAGTCTCCACTTATGGCAGTCCCATACTTAGCCTTAAGTAGCTACAACATCCTACGGTGCCAGGAAAGACAGAAGAGTGTGTACGACTCCTCTCACCTTGCAGAGGGGCACGACTCAGCTGCGGCTGTCTGGGGGACCTGGCTCACATCACATGTCAACTCAGAAAGGGTGCTTCACTTTCGAGGCCCAGTTCCTTCTCCTAGGAAATGAGAAAGCCACCCTCCTCCTAGTGTGAGGATTAAATGCATACACACACACACACACACATATATATCTGAACACACATATAAGACAAGATATATGTATATGAAGATACATATAATGTAAGGATACATATGTATACATGGTCCAGCACATGGCCAACACTCAACCCTCTTAACATGGCGGCCATCTCACCAATAGTCTTCTACGCGGCATCTCCATCACATGGACAGTGAAGGCAAAAGGCACTAGATGGGTCTGCTTAGGCCTCTCAGCGGCTGGATGCAACAGCCCACACCGTGTGGTCCCCTGGTGACCTGGCCCCCACCCTGTGGAACACAGAGGGCATGTCACTGGGCAGCGGCTGGGCTACCCCGATACCTACTTCTTCTTCTGAGTTCACCAGGGACAGTGCTCCGTGGAAACAGCTACGGGACTCAGGAAAGAGAGCTCCTTCTCTCATACCTTTGGGGGAATTCTGGGGTCACGTGAGACCAGCATAATCACAACACACCTGAGCTAGCTTCTCGGTCAACCCTCTTTAAAATTCCAAGGACACCAAAGTTCCTCTACGAAAGAGAGGGCCATAATGTGCCTGCTCGACCTTCTCCACCACACCCCTGCCTCCAACCCACAAGCCGCCGTCCTAAAAAGCTGAGACAGGGTTCAATCCATGGACTTAGCGTAGCAGGCGCCAGAGGGGAGGCCTGCCTGCCAAACACTCTGGAAATCACTTCTGGAGATACTGACCGGTGGGATTTTATTCCTGGGATTCGGACTGGGGGCCTGGGAAGGAACGTCGGGGAGCGCAGGTCTCCAGCCGATGTGGCGCCACCGTGTGGTGACAGCACAAACAGCGTGGGCACCGCTCAGCCTTGAAGCTCTGGGATCCTCTACCAATTTTTAATTTTGAGAAATCCAAAATATTCCCACTTTTATGTTTCAAATGAGAATTAATTCACATATATTTCTATTTTGTCACGGCACTATTTCAGGTCTGCATTATTCAAAAACGCTCTGTGAATACAGTGGCTTCAATTTCTCAACGTTGGCACTGCTGTATCTAGGGTCTGGCTTCTTTCACCACCCAGAACCGGGGGGGAGTGTTGGGGGTGGGGGGCAAAGAAGAGACAACCAGTTTAGACTCCACCGAGATCTTAAGATCAAATCCTCCCTTCTGGCTTTCCGGATTGGCTACCTCTGGTTAGCATACAATAAAAGAAGGCAGAAAAATCACCAAGCAGCTTCATTTTACCACACCTGGTAAAATAAATAATAATATAAATAAAAGTCAAGCTCACCCGACAAAACTAAGCAAGATGATGGTTACCCTTGGGGAATAAGACCTATGGAGGACATGGGGAGACGGGGAATAGTCTAGGTCTTTTTTTTTTTTTACCATTTATTTATTTTTGAGAGACAGAGAGTGAGCAGAGTAGGGGCAGAGAGAGGGAGACACAGAATCCAAAGCAGCTCCAGGCTCCGAGCTGTCAGCACAGATCCCAACGCGGGGCTCGAACCCACGAACTGCAAGATCCTGACCTGAGCTGAAGTCGGAGGGTTAACCAGCTGAGCGCCCCCCAGGCGCCCGGGTCTAGGTCTTCATCTGGGCAGGTGTGGGCAGGTGTGCCCGGCTTGTGACAATCCACTGAGGGCACACTTTGGATCTGTGCTGCTTTCTGCGATTATGTCACAGCTTAATACAATATTAAAATAAACTCACCAAGCTCTGACCAGTCGCCCCTCTGTAACTTGCCTGTGAAACAAAAGGCAGTACAAACAATAATAATAACCCCAAACGGGGGATGCCCATTTCTCTCTGAGGCCTTCCAGTCTGTGCCAACTGATTTCTCTGAAGGCCAAGGCCACAGAGGAGCTCTCCTTCCATCCCTCTGGACAGGAGGAAGGAGGCAGGATACAATCTACACCACTGTTTACACCGCTGAGCCTGGCTACCACTTGGCCTGTCCCAAAATGAGCAGACCTTGGGGCAAACAATCCCCCCCCCTCCCATCCTCCATGGGGAACCTAGGCCACACAGAGATGCGGGAAATCTCCACGGAGACAACGCCCTCACACAGAGACAGCGAGCCACACACCCCCCCCCCACGGCCCCCGCCCCACGGAGTCGGCTGGCCCCCCGCCCACACGGACCGCGCGCGCCAGGGCTGATTAGCAAGCGGCTGCCCACCGCCAAGCGCCACCATCAACCCGAACAGGACAATGAGTCGTTCCGAAGTCTTGGCAACGTAGATTTCTCGAGAAAGAAAGGCTTTCGGATCTGCGGACAGGGTCCCAGAGACTGCTGTAAACAATTCTTGCCATCACCTCCACTTCCGCCCGCAGCTCGGATGTTCTGGAACTTTCTGCCTTCACCTCCACCGAGTCCCCGAAGCCTCGCCGCCTTGGAAAGGCTGACGCACAGGGATTATTCTGCTTTACAGATTTTAAAACTTGGGGCGCAGGGGAGCCTGGCTGGCGCAGTCTGTAGAGGTCGGGGCTCCTGATCTTGGGGCCGTGAGTTCAAGTCCCGCGTTGGGCACTGAACTTGCTTTTAAAATAATAATAAAGTTAAGGCTCGAGGACGTCTGTCGGACATCACAAAACTATCCAGGTAACCATGGGATCACGGAGCCGGGGCGGGGCAGGCTGAGTCGGAGGGGCAGAGAAACCGTGTCAGAGGAGGAGGGGTGCGTCTCCGCCGAGCCCCGAGGACGGCCCACGGCCCCACCGGGCGGCCTCAAAGGATCTGGGATAAACGACACACATCCGGCCACAGTGACCGCTTCTGGGCCCGGGCCCCACCCCAGGGAGAGTGTGCACCAAGCCCAGCTCGAGGGGCAGGGAGTGGGGCGCGCACGAATGGAGCCCGACGCCCGGCGCTCTTAGAGCCGATCTGGCCACACCACCGGCAGAGCGAGCCCGCCTCTCGGACGGAGTCCCTGGACCCAAACCGATGCGTGCAGTTCGTCTCTCCCGTGCTTACCCGCGGGGACAGGGCTTCTTTGCGAGGCGGAAACGCAGCAGGACTGACCTAAGGGCAGGCACCTGGCACCTGCCCCACCCGCCCGCCGAGACTTGGCAAATTCTGTGACCGGGAATGGGGGGGGGGGGGGCGATGCCGCAAACGCCTCCGGGCCAGGGGGTTCCGCCGCGGAAGCGCTCGACTCCGCGTGCACCCCAAAGACCCCCCCGGGCGCCCCCAGCCCTCTGCAGGGCCCCTCGGGATCGGCTCCCGACCTCCGCAAATGCCGCGGACTTGGAGGGGAGGAAGCAGGAGAGAGACGGGGCCGAAGCCGAAGCGACCCCCGCAGCAGCGCGCCCTCCCCGGGCAGTCCGCGCACCGGCCGGAAGCGGCTGATCGGGCTCTCGGTCCGCGCGCGGGCTGTGACCTTGGGTGAGCCTCCGATTCGCCCCATTTTACAGACCTTTAGAGTCCGAAAGAGTCCGGGGCGCCGCGCCGGGCCGCTCCGGGGCGCCTGCCCGGCGGTTCCGCGCCCCTGCAGCCCGGGAGCCAGCGGGGAGCGCAGAGACGGGCTCCGGCCGCGGCCGCGGGAGGGGGCGGCGGCTGCGACTGCGCCGATCCCCGGGCAAGTTAGCGCCCCCGGCCCCGCGACGCCCCTCGGCGGGGGCCGGCCGGCCGCGCCCGGGGACCCTGGCTCGGGACTCGCGCGGGCGCAGGGGGCGCGTGAGAGACACCTCCACACACCCACCCCCGAAGTTGCGGCAGCGCGAGGCGGAGAGCGGCGCCCAGCCGCCGGAGGGGAGGGGGCGGTACTCACGCGGGGCGGCCGGGCGGCAGCGGGTCCGCGGCCTGGGTCACCGATGGCGGCCGCGCTCAGGCCGCTCCGGACGCGGGGCACCTGCCGCAGCGCGGCGCGCGGAGGAGGGAGCGGCGCGCGGCGAGGCCGGGGCTCGGCCGCCGGAACCGCAGCCGCAGCGGGCGCGCGGGAGCCGGCAGGGGGCGGGCGCGCGGCGGCGGCGGCGGCGGGGGAGGCGCCCGGGGCCGCAGACACCTGCTGGCCGGGCCGGCGGCCAATCGGAGGCGCCCGGGGCGGGGGCGCAGCGGGGCGGGGCGGGGCGGGGCGGGAGGGGGTGCCCGCCCGGCCGCTTGCTCGGCGGCTCCCCGGGCGCGCGGGCGGCACGCGCATCGGGGGAGGGCGGGGCTGGGGCTGCGCGCGCCCGGGGCGGGGACCCGCGCCCCCGGTTGGGCGCTTCCCGGCGACGCGGCGCAGGGCGGGGGCCCTTAGGTGAGACTCCGGGTCACTGCCAGCCTTGAAGTGACGCCTCTCCTGTCCCCTGCGCCTGAGCCCGGGGGCCCGGACCCTCCGTGACCGCGGGGTGACGCGCCGCCCGAACGCGGGTGGGCCCGGCCGCTCCGGAGTGTGGGCGCCCTCCCCCCGCCTCCCTCGGCAGGGCCGGCGTGGCGCTTCTGCAGACGCAGCTCCTCGTCGCGGCACGGCCGCTGCGTGTTTGAAGTCCCCGCGGTGACCCCCTCCCCGGTCTGGATTGCCGGCACCCTCCCGGGGACAGACTGCGCCCGCGCCGCTCGGGGGTTCCGCGCGCGCTCGGGGTCCCTCCGGCTCGGGGCGGGCCCCCCGCCGCTGCGCGCAGAGCCCCCTCCGCGGCCGCACCGCCGGGCGAGCGAGCCCGCGCCTGCCCGCAGGGTGCCCGGGGTCGGCCGCGCGGGAGGGACGCGCCCGGGCCCGGCGGGGAGCCCCGGGTCCTGGAGCGACGCCCGGCGCGTGGAAGGTTCCCCTCCGGGCCGGGATCTTCCCTGGACCGACGGCCTCGGCCCCGGCAACCCGGCTGGGGGGACCCGCGTCGGCTTCAGCGCCTGCGGAGCTGCGCGGCCCTGGCGACAGCGGACACCCGGGGTCCTGGCGCAGGACGCGGGACGGAGGGTGCCCTCCCCGTGTGGACTTGCTCGGTGGCAGTGGACGGCTCCTGTGCTGATCTGTCCGCGGCAGAAAGACACACACACGCACACACACACGCACGCACGCACACAGCAACCCGAGGCAAAAAGAGTTGATTTCTCTAAAGATCTGCTTTCTTCGCTTAAAGGGATGTTATTATCCACAAACTGGCTAAAGTGGAAGAAAGTTTGTGTTTTGTTCCTTTCTTCTTTACGTCAATTTTCATTGCATTTGCCTGTGCTCGACTACCGTTAGCACGGGATGGAAGTCAGAAAGTCCAGATGGTACAGGGTTCACAAGGCTCCCTTCCGAGGCTCGGGGCGTGTCGTTCCTCCCCTGGGGGCCCCCATTGCTGTCCAGTTCACCTCAACCTCCTAGAGAAAATGTAAGCAACCAGGTGTATTTTGTCCGGTGTTCCCATTTTTGCCGTTTTGTTATACAAACGGTAGGTCTACCTTCAGGCACAGACACCCGAGTAAAGGTGTGAATGTAGAATGTGAAAGGATTTCTCTGGGTAGCGGCCGCCTCCTAGCAACGAGAACGGGTTCAAAGGTTATTTGCCATCGTGCAAATGCTTGCAAAACCGACCTAATATATAAATTCTCCCCTTTAAACCTCTTTCGGAATCAAGATCGTAGCATCTCTCCTAAGTTATAAACATTTCAAAAGAAAAACAGAGAAGTACAGAGGGGTTCAGTGATTTGCTCAAGGTTGCAAGTAAGACGGGAAGAAAGTGCAGGTGGAAATCCACACACCTTACGCGCAAGAAGAGCCCCACTTCCCGGTTGTTGGTCTTACAGCTTCGCTCTTCACCTGAGCTGTTACCGCCTTTTTTTTTTTTTTAACATTCCCACAAAAGGGTTGGCCTTCAAAGATTATTTGAGTGACAATGAAGACGACCTAACGTGCTCCCCGCTTGAGGACTCCATCCTGAGCTGTCATTCAGCAAAATTTCACTGAATTCCAGCAATATTCATCCCTTCTTTTGCCTCCCGTGACTCTAGGGTAGTGCTTGTTTCTCCATTTTCCGCATGACCTTGACGACTGTAAGAGTTTCAGCCGGTTCCTCCTTCATCAAGAGGAGCTCATTGACTTTTGTGCACCAAGGATACGCATCTCATCTTCTTTTAAAACATAAATCAGACAGTCCATCCGTGGCCGGAAGATTGATGAGTTTATACTGGCAGGGAAAAGACATGTCTCAGGAGAATTGTGGGTAGAATTAAGAGAGCATTAGTCACAAAAGACTTGGGTGCTCCTATGGCCTTCCTGCTTCCTGTCTTTGTGACCTGGGACAAGTTCCTTAACTTCGCTGAATCCTAGATCCTCTAAATCTAAAATACGGTATGATCGGCTCCACTGGCCTGCGAGATTCTTATTGACAACAATGTATGTGAAATTCTGGGCACGTAATGAGATTTAATAATACGTTGGCTATCTAAAAATGATCATTTCAATCTGGAAAAAAGTGAGTTTATAAAGGAAGTTTCTATACCATTTTGTGGCATCTACTGGCATAGAAGTGAGGAAACCTTTGCCCACTACTTCCCTATCAGCCAAAACATCATATCTGATTTTCAAAAAAAAAAAAAAAAATGGATCTCTACTTCTTCCATTCCACTTAGCACTTAGTTGTTAGGTAATATTAATTATTTGGGTGCATCTCCAATCTCCCCAGCTCGACTGGAAATGCCTCGGATTGGGGGCCATGCCACATCTGTGATTCCTATGGGCACCTGGAACAGTATCTTGATACAGTGTAGACACCCAATAATTATTTGTTGAATGAAAAGTAAGTGGATAAAAAGAAAACTTGTTAAATTGGACCTCATCAGGAAATTTTTCAAAACCCATTTGCTGTGTAAAAGACCCTATTAAGAAGGTGAAAAGACAATGGTGTACTGGGAAAAAAATATTTTCAAATAACGTATCTGACAAAGGTTTTGTATCTCAAGTATATAAAGGGCTCTCAACATTCAATAGTAAAACCCCCCAAACAGTCCAATTAGAAAATAGGCAAATGACACGAAGAAATAGTTCATGAAAAGCTGTTCAACATCATTAGCCAAGGGAAATGTAAGGTAGAACTATAATGAGGCATCACTACATGCTCTCAGAATGGGTAGGATAGAAAAAAAATTGTGGCAACACCAGATCCTGGTGAGGAGACAGAGACACTGTGACACTTGATGCGTTGCTGGTAGGAATGTACGAAGGGGCAACCGCTCTGGAAAACTGTTTTTCTTTTAAAACTAAAATTGAACCTACCTCGCAACCCAACAATTTCAGCTTGGGCCTCTGTCCTGGAGAAATGAAAACTTGCATTCACGCCAAATCTTTCACAAACCAAGCCACATGGATCTAGTCCCCAAAGCTCCACCCAGCACGAGACAGCAAGAGAGCAGAGGACCGCGACGCACACCCCGTCTGCGCGCTGTGTGAGGAAACAGGACGGCTCGGTGTTCACCGAGGGACCCCTCATGGTTCTGGACAACTCAGAGAGCAACGCGAGGCCTCAAAGTGGACATCTGTCTCGGACGCTCTCGTCTCGAGCAGTGATTAGGTGGAGGAACAGAAGACCTGACTGTATGTGTGTCTTGCATTGATGAAATAGATCATACTAGACTGAACAGAGCTAGAAACAGAAATGCTTAGAATTCATTGTTTCTGGTAAGTGCAGTATTTTTCTCCAAGGTGTTTTTTGGAACAATGAATATTTTATTATACAGCCGTTCATTCCCTACTAAATAATGGCTTTTGAAAAGCTTCATTGCCTTCTTTAGTGAAGTTGATTCCATCTTGGAAGGACACCGTAAAAGTAATTATTGAGTCCTGTTATTCATTGATTACACGATCCAGTAAGGAATCCTGGTGCTGCTAAGAGATACTGATAAAAATGTTACTTTAGGGGCACCTGGGTGGCTTAGTCGGTTGGGCATCCGACTTTCGCTTAGGTCATGATCTCGCGGTTCGTGGGTTCGGGCCCCGCGTGGGGCTCTGTGCTGACTGCCAGCTCAGAGCCTGGAACCTGTTTCGGTCTGTGACTCCCTCTCTCTCTGACCCTCCCCTGCTCACGCTGTCTCTCTCTCTCTCTCCTAGAAATAAATAAACTGTTAAAAAAAATGTTACTTTAGCGGAGTATAGATGATTACCAACTTACAGATTCTTTATTTGTGACTGTCTCCTCTTATGATTTTGTTACTATAAGTTAGGTCCCTGCAATAAAGCGCAGGCTTGGTCAATAACCTCTACAGCCAAATCAGATACAATGCTTCTCTGAACCCCGAACCAACTGAGGTCTGAGGCAGCCGACGCAGCCTGCAGTTGTGCTGAGGTCTAATAAAATCAGCAGTAATGCCCAGAAATGTAGCCGGTGCCCTGCGTGTGAGTGTACATCCCCATCGCAACAATCCTCAAAGCCCGAGGGACGGTTTAATCGCCACGATCTTACTCGCTGAGGCTTAGCAATGAGGCTGCCCTTGCGTGGCACTCAGGCATCGCCAAAGAGAAGCGGGCAGATGAGTCTGTCTTCTTTCCTCCAGTGCCTGATCCCACTGAGCTGCATTTTCTTTATTCCGTAGCACCTGTCACCCTTTAACACACCCTTAACTTTCTTATTCTGTTTACTACTTCTTGTTTGTCTTCCCCACTAGGACGTAAGCTGCATGAGGGCAGAGAGTTTTGTACAGCTCACTGATATCTCCGAGTGCTTCGGACAGAGCCTCACACAAAGGAAGTGCTGGATAAATATTTATTAAATGAGTTAAGATGCCAGCGACAATGCTCATCCACCAACAGTTACGATTCAGGGATGTTCAGAAGCTTCTGTGCATGCAGAATAGTCACATTGATTTTTTTTTAATCAGGTGGCCTGAATTTTCATGTATTTACAGTTCTTTCC